CCTCCTCCTCCTCCTCCTCCTCCTCCTCCCTTAGAGGCAGCTTACAGTATCATAAAAGCAGTGCAAACAATTAAAATGCAAACATTAAAACGTCAAGCCATGGATTCACATGAATACATCCACCATGCTGGAGAGAGCACCAAGGACTCAACATTTCAATCTTGAGCTACAAATATTCTCCTTACTCAGTGTTTGCCCTGTGTTGTGTTTGTGTGTGCATGCGACTATTTGATTTTCCAAACTCTTTGTTGGTTGTGGTTTCCAGGACCCTCCTGGCCAAAATGGCGGAATGTGCAGCCCTTCAGTTTGTCAGTCCTTACGCCTTCGAAGCCATGCAGAAGGTGGATGTGGTGCGTTTGGCGGCATTGAGTGACCCGGAGCTCCGTTTGCTGTTGCCTTGCTTGGTGCGAATGGCCTTGTGCGCCCCAGCCGACCAGAGCCAGAGTTGGGCCCAGGACAAGAAACTCATCCTCCGCCTGCTTTCGGGGGTCGAAGCCGTAAACTCCATTGTCGCTTTGCTCTCTGTGGATTTTCACGCTCTGGAACAGGATGCCAACAAAGAGCAACAGCTCAGGTAAGGCTCCCGCAGGTTTGGTTTCCTTAAAAAGTGCTATAAGGGATGGGAAAAGGCGGCAGCTTTTCTGTTCTTCTCTTCTTAGACATAAGCTTGGCGGAGGCAGCGGGGAGAGCATTTTGGTGTCCCAGCTGCAGCACGGCCTGACTCTGGAGTTCGAACACAGCGATTCCCCCCGGCGGCTCCGTCTGGTGCTGAGTGAGCTGCTGGCAATTATGAATAAGGTGAATGTTTTCCTTCGGTCCTTCCTGATAAGGTCGCCTCCCTTTTCGGGATGCTTAAAGCTGTCAGTTTTCCTCCCTACCTACCTCTTTTTCTTTTCTTTTCTTTTCTTTCTTTCTTTCCTTCCTCTTCCTTTTTTTCTTTCTCTCTCTCTCTTTCTTTAGTTTCTTTTCTTCTTTCCTTTCGCTTTTCCTTCCTTTCTTTTTCTTTCTTTCTTATTTCCTTCCTTTCTTTCTTTTCTTTCTGTTCTCTTTCTTTCTTCTTCCTCTTTTCTTTCCTTCCTTCCTTCCTTCCTTCCTTCCTCTTTCTTTCTCATTCTTTCTTTTCTTTTTTCTTTCCTTCCTCTTTTCTCCTTCCTTTTTTTCTTTCTTTCTCTCGCTCTTTCTTTATCTTTTGTTCTTCTTTCTTTCTTTCTTTCTTTCTTTCTTTCTTTCTTCTTTCCTTCCTCTTCTTTTTTCTTTCTCTCTCTCTCTTTTCTTTCTTTTCTTCTTTCCTTTTTTCCTTTCACTTTTCTTTCCTTTCTTCCCTTTTTCTTTCTTTGTTCTTTACTTCCTTTCTCTCTTTCTTTTCTTTCTGTTCTCTTTCTTTCTTCTTCCTCTTTTCTTTCCTTCCTTCCTTTCTCTTTCTTTCTCATTCTTTCTTTTCTTTCTTTTTTTCTTTCCTTCCTCTTTTCTCCTTCCTTCCTTTTTTCTTTCTCTCTTTCTCTCGCTCTTTCTTTCTTTATCTTTTGTTCTTTCTTTCTTTCTTCTTTCCTTCCTCTTCTTCCTTCCTTTTTTCTTTCTCTCTCTTTCTCATTCTTCTTTTCTTTCTTTCTTTTCTTTCTCTCTTCTTTCCTTCCACTTTTCTCTCCTTCCTTTCTTTCTTTCCTCTCTTTTTTTCCTTTCCTGTCTTTTCTCTCCTCCCTCGCTCCCTCTCTTCCTTCCAGCTTGCGTTGCTTTTCATTTTCAAAGACGAGCCCTTCTCTCCGAACAGGTGGCCGACTCTACCGGTGAATTTTTTTTCAAATCCCCAGAGCTGTTTGAGAGTCCAGTTTATTTGGAAGAAGCGGCAGATGTCCTTTGCATTTTGCAAGCAGGTGTGTGTGTGTGTGTTTCTCTTAGAGAAGGCTGTAAAAGCACTGTAAAGCGGTATATAAGTCTTAAGTGCTATTGCTAATAGTTGCCCTAATGTAAAAGCATCTATCCCTAGTTCACTGGCTTTGTTTTGAACTTGTTGAATGCTGCTACTTTCTGGGAAAGAACCTGTTTTTAACTTGTACATATGTTAATCTTGTATTTTATATTTTAAACATTATGCTGAAGAGTACGCCTTATTTTAAGACGAATAAACAACCTTTGGACTCTCTGTGTTCAGAACTCCCTTCGCTGTTGCCCATCGTCGATGTGGCTGAAGCTTTGCTCCACATGAAGAACGGTGCTTGGTTCCTCTGCCTTTTAGTTGCCAACGTCCCCGATAGTTTTAACGAAGGTATGTTACATTCCTGAATACTTTGTTGGCAGTGATTTTTGCCTGTTCATGTGTGTTGCAAAGGCACCAGTGGTTGTGCATCAGGAGAAGCATTTGAAGGAGCACACTTTTCAACAAAAGCATTAAAAGGGTAAGAAATGTAGCCATACAGCTGAGTAGGAACTGAGCATATTTATTGCATTCAATATATGTCTTGATATATTGTAAGGGATGAGGTGGCTCAGTGGCTAAGACGCCGAGCTTGTTGATCAGAGAGGTTGGCAGTTCAGTGGTTCGAATCCCTAGCGCCATGTAATGCAGTGAGCTCCCATTACTTGTCCCAGCTTCTGCCAACCTAACAGTTTGAAAGCACGCAAAAATGCAAGTAGAAAAAAATAGGAACCACTTTTGGTGGGAAAGGAACAGCATTCCCTGCGCCTTTGGCATTTAGTCATGCCGGCCACATGACACGGAGACGTCTTCAGACAGCGTTGGCTCTTCGGCTTTGAAACGGAGATGAGCACCGCCCCCTAGAGTCAGGAACAACTAGCATCATATGTGCGGGGAAACCTTTATCTTTATCTCTTGAATGCTGTGTATGGACTGTAAATTGACTGAAAAACACTATACATGTAGTCCTCGAGCTACGACCACCATTGAGTCCCAAATTTCTGTTGTTATGTGACACATTTGTTAAGTGAGTTGTCAACCCTGAAGTGAGCCTGACTGAAGCCATCTTGGAGACTTCAGGGTTGCCACACAGCAGTGCGAGAGGGGAAATAGTTAGATGGGGTTTTGTAGCCATGAAGTTTTCCTCTGGGAACCAAGGACATTCTCATAGCTGGCTGGCCAGAGGAGGAGCCGGTAACCCAGCAACCGGTAACCCAGCAACCAGCCAGCACCTGGATTGGACAGTGTGACCCACTTGGGGGGGGGAGGGGAAAACTTTTTTGTTTTGGCTACATAGCAATAGCAGTTAGACTTATATACTGCTTCATAGGGCTTTCAGCCCTCTCTAAGCGGTTTACAGAGTCAGCATATCGCCCCCACAGTCTGGGTCCTCATTTTACCCACCTCGGAAGGATGGAAGGCTGAGTCAACCCTGAGCCGGTGAGATTTGAACCGCCGAACTGCAGATAACAGTCAGCTGAAGTGGCTGCAGTACAGCACTTTAACCACTGCGCCACCTTGGCTCTTGTACTTTGCCCCATTTTATGACCTTTTCTTTCTGCAGTTGTTAAGTGAATCCCTACAGTTGATAAATTAGCAATCTGGTTGTTGAGTGAATCAGGCTTCCCCATTGACTTCGCTTGTCAGAAGATCGCAAAGCAAAGGTCATAAATATGAACCAGCTGCCAAGCCTCTGAATTTTGATCAAGTCACCCATGGGGGATGCTGCAAAGGTCATAACAATGAAAAACGGTCACAAATCACATCTCAGAGTAACTTTGAACGGGCACTAAATGAACTGTTTGTAAGTCAAGGACTACCTGTGTATGTTTCAAAAGACGGGAAGCAAGGAAGAATGTAATTCACTTCATCAATAATTCCTGAAAATTGTAAACTTGCTATGTAATGAGAATGTGGCCCCCCAGCTTGACAATTCTATTGCTTCAATTGCCCTAAATTGTTTTCTGAATCCTGGATAAGCGTCGACTTTTAGGTCAGGATGAGCTGGCAATATGCATGTGCTCTGTGTCAACTTTGCATCGACCATGGCAGAAGCCATTTTTCTATTCCTCAGTTGCCACACAGAGGGGAAAGGAGGATGAAATACATTGCTAGACAAAATACAGCACTTTCTCGTGGGAACCAAGGTCATCTCTACAGGTAGTGGATAGAGACGGGGAGGAGTCTCTAATTGACCCCGCCAATTAACCTAACCAGCCAACGTGACTTATGTACCCAATAAAGAAGTTGTTAGAGAACTTAGCCTCAGAATTCTGATTTGCTCGAGTTAGTTAGCGAGAGTCATTACACTCCCACCACTGTTTTTGCAACCTGAAGGTACACTGTCAACCCTGAAGCAAACCTAGCTGAGGCCATCTTTGAGGCTTCATGGTTGCCACAAAGAGAAGGGGGAGAAAGGGAGGGTTTTTTTTAGATAGCTTGGCTTGGCCGTCAAAATAAAAAGTTTTCTTGTGGGAACCAAGGTCATTCCAACAGATGGCTGAGAAGAGGAGGAGTAGAGTAAGCAGGCAACCTGCCAGCACCACTATTGGACAGTGTGACCGATGACCTGAGGAGAAGGGGGAACTTTCATTTTTTGATTAGTTGAAAACCACAGGAACGTTCAGAGTCAGTTTTCACCAGGTGTGCCAGTATGATGTATCAAATAAATTGTTCTTTGAGGAATCTACCTGCCTCGGAGTTCTGCTTTCAGTGGGTGCATTACTTGGAACGCTGACACCGAGTTGAAAATTTTGTTTTGTTTTTTTTAATTGGTGGATTCCAGTATGCAGGGGCTTGATTAAGAATGGTGAGAGGCAAGACGAGGAGAGTTTTGGAGGCCGCCGCAGAACCGATGCGCTGCGTCACCTTTGCAAAATGAACCCTTCCCAGGCGCTGAGGGTTCGTGGTATGGTGGTGAGTCCTTTTGTAACTTGTGATGAAGATTGGAAGTAACTTATTTACTTATTTTTTTCCCCTGGTAAAAGATAATGTGTGTAGCTCAGGGTTGAACTGTGGGGTCCTTGGTGATTTTCTTGAAGACGTTTCTTTACCAAACAAGATAATGTCATTATCAACATCTTCATACTATCCAAAAGAGACAATCTGTTGTGGCCAGAGGAGCTGGCAGCAGATTTGGACAGTGAGGAGGTTGGGGAGGAACATGGGCCAGTCCTGGAGTCTGGGGAAGGCTCTGANAGCTAACTAAGTCAATGATCCATTTGGAATGAAGGTTTCTCTGAGCTACCTTCTGACAATGTGTCTGATCAAATTTGCAAGCCTTTTCTTGCCTACTGTAGTAGATGGATCATTCCATTTATAAGCTGACCCTATTATTATTAAAATTTACCAGGAAGACATCTGTTAAGAGAAACGACATGGTGCTTCCAATTTCCTACTAGATTCAAGCTACATTTGTTGCATTTTGAATTTTGTATGCAAAGCCTTCTGTTCAGTGAAGGGGAAGCTCTCCTCTAACAGCCAAGTAATAGGCATGAACGGGAAAAGTATTTGTCTGCTTCCTTGCTTTGTCTGTCTTTGTTATTGGATGAGCATCTGGATGGATTTGTTTATCCATCTTTCTGTACAGCCACTAAGACCATATAAGTGTACAGAATGGTCACCACAGTCCTAAAGATGCCTACTTAAATGTGAGTCTGTTTGTAGTTTGTGCCGCTTAGACCTAGGAAAATATACAGAGGGTAGAAAATTAGATTCTTATTTATTTTTTATAATGAAAAAGAATTATTGGCTAGAAATTGAAAAGGGGGGTGGATATATTTACTTTTCAAAAAGTAATAAAAGGCAATCAAGTAAGATTTATATCAAGCTACCTATGACGATATGAAGGTGAAATGCCATTGTGATTTTATTCCTTTCAGTCAAGAATCAAGATCTGTATGTAATGGAGAATGATATGCACTATATTTGAATGTCTGTGCAAAAAAAAAAAACCCACCAAAGCAAAACACAAGAGGTGTGTATGAACGAACACACACACACACAGAGGCATAGACTCATGCACTATGGGCAGTGTTTCAAAAGTACGAAAGAGCAAAATAAAATGAATCTTTTTTCTGAGATAACCACTGCGACAAGATAAATGCAAAAATAATTTTATATAAATTGCTGTGGATACATCTCCCTGTATTCGTTTTAAGAAAAAATCATTACCAACATCAACTTTATTTAATATTGGAATGATTAAAACGCACAGTTTGAGAACACTAAATATAGAGGAGGTAGTGAAGAAAAGGGTAATTTTGAAAGCATTTGGTGGATTTGTTGAAAAATTAACATCTATTACGGAGAGTGTTATGAAGTCAGTAAAATCATAACAGGTTGCACAATTGCCTAGAGATAAGTGATATTACTGAGTTATTTTTGAGTCTCAGTTAATAAACAAAATTACCAGCTAACAAAAAATATGTTAATTATGGTGAATATTTTAGTTGTTTACTGAGTGGAAATGTTTTAATGCACTGCCCATTAGCAACTGGGTTAGTAAATTATTGTATCTTGTCAATCTTGTGAAGTACACAGCTTATGTAGCAAAGATAGAATACTAAATAAAGCAAAGAGCGATACCTCTACTTTTTATGAATTATGATGAACCAAATCCTCAATAGTAGCAGCTTCCATTATGAATTGGGGTTAAATCTAGCAGAGTCTAAGTAATGTTTATAAATCAGAACAGAGGGAACTTCTAAACTGGGCAATATATGTTGAGCCACAGCACTCCAAAGTTTGCCACTACAGATAACCTTCAACCCACAATCATTAGGTGGCTGCTCAAACTTATAATGGCACTGAAAAAAGTGACATGAATGTTTTTCACATTTATAATAGTTGCAGCATCCCCATGGTCATGTGATTAAAATTTGGGTGCTTAGCAATTGGTGTGCATGTATGATAGTTGCACTGCCCTGGGGTCGTGTGATCACCATTTGTAATCTTCCCAATAAGCAAAGCCAATGGAGGAAGCCAGATGCACTAAATGACTGCGAGTGATTTTCTTAACAACTGTGGCAAAAAGATCACACAAGAGGCAAAACTCACTTAACAACTGTCTGGCTTAAGCAACAGAATTTGGGGCTCAGTTTTGGTCATAAACCAAGGATTACCTGTATAACAGGGGTAAAATTCAGCAGGTTCTGGAGAACCGGTAGTGGAAATTTTGAGTAGTTCGGAGAACCAGCAAATACCACCTTTGGCTGGCCCCAGAGTGGGGTGGGAATGGAGATATTACAATATCCTTCCCCCAGGAGTAGGGAGGGAATGGGGATTTTGCAGTATCCTTCCCCTGCCACGCCCACCAAGTCACACCAACAGAACTGGTAGTTAAAAAAATTGAATTTCACCACTGCTGTATAACCATGAGTTATGGAATAACTGGTGTTGTATAATGGACTACGGTGTGAAGTGGCAGTTTCCCAGGAAGGAAGGAGCACAAGTGTCAACACAGTCCAGAGCTGAATCAGAGAAAGAGGAAGAGATTTATGATAGCCTTGAATCTTGCAGGATATATTTATTAGGGTGAGAGCTGCATAGGTTTAGTCTGGTGAGCTTCTGTCTATTTGGTGGGGAGCAAATAAAGAACTGAACTTTGCCTGGATTGTTACAGGTCTGTGGTTCTCAACCTTTTCTTCACCACAGAACCCTTTTAAATACCTTTTGTGGCCACAGACCACGAACACCTAACTCAAGATTGAAATCATAACATTGATTCAAGCTTTTGTGGATCCCCTGTGACAAAATGGTGGACCCCAGCCCAGGGGTCCACAGACCACAGATTGAGAACCACTGTTCTATGTTGTTCTTGGGCTGGGCTTGACATGTTGTTTTTATAAGACCAACCCATTTCATACCTATCATGTTACCATTTTATTTCCGTTATGTGAAAATTCATTTGCAAAGACTACAGGATAAAAGATGCTCACTACAAAGTAATATCTGGTTTAATCTCAAAAATTAATTCACGGGTTCTTTTAGTTGAATCCAAATTCATTGGGTCCCCAAAACACGAGCCCCCTTGGCTTTTAGGCAATCCACACACAAACATGCAGTATTCACAGTTCTTTCCCACATGCTTTGCCAACTCTGCTACTGCTCATACTTCTAGTAGTAAACTACTACTATCTCTTAGCCCTACACTACTTCCAGTTGCTCTATCCAAAGGATAACAGAAACCACTGCCCTGCTCACTCCCAGAACAACTCCAACACAAATATTACCCCACAACTACACCCACCACACCCAGCTGCCTTTCTGGTTGGCTTTTATAGATGTTCTTTGCTAAGCAACCTGGAGAGGTCTTAAAGGGAGGGCACCATCAGCCCAGGTACTGCCCTGGCATCCTTCCCTCTCCTAAATACCATTATAAAGCATTCCCAAAAGTGCTTTTTAAAAGGCAGCTGGACTTCATTTGTTTAGCTTGAAGTCATTTTCCTTCTCATCCGAGAATCTTCTTCACTTCTTACTGAATGGTTGAGAATGGAAAGATTTATATTCCTTGCAGTCATCTGGTCATTAGCACCATTTCTGAGAGTTGTTAAGGCCACTTGGAGGTTTATCTGTGCCCTCAG